ATTAAACTGTTTTTAAATGAATGTATTACAACATTTACATTTTTTATATATGTTTAAAATGTATTTATATTCATTTTATTAAAACATTTAAATTTAATATATAGAATTACAGTTGAAGTCAGAATTATTAGCCCCCTTTGAATATTTGTTTTCTTTTTTAAATATTTCCCAAATGATGTTTAACAGAGCAAGGACATTTTCACAGTATGTCTGATATGTTTTTTTTTTTCTGGAGAAAGTCTTATTTGTTTTATTTCGACTAGAATAAAAGCAGTTTTTATATTATTATCCCCTTTAAGCTATATAATTTTTCAATTGTCTACAGAGCAAACCATCGTTATACAATAACTTGCCTAATTACTGTAATCTGCCTAGTTAACCTAATTAACCTAGTTAAGCCTTTAAATGTCACTTTAAGCTGTATAGAAGTGTCTTGAAAAATATCTAGTCAAATATTATTTACTGTTATCATGGCAAAGATAAAATAAATCAGTTAAATTAAATATATTTTAATTTAATTATTTATATAAAAATATGTAAATGTATTAATATATTTAAAATTGATTCATATGCATTTATTAATATATTTAAATGTAATATATGGAATTACTTGTATAGTTAATTATTATTGCTTAATTATATTTGATTTATTATTATTTTACACTGGATTAATTACATTAAATTTATAAATAGATTTAATTTATTAATATTCATTTTTTTATTAATATATTTAAATTTAGTATATGGAATTATGTTAAATTATTAATGTTTATACATATATTTGAATTATTATTTCTCGTTAAACTATTTTAGAATGGATTTATTAAAATATTTAAATGTATTTATAATTTATTAATATTTTTTATTTATTTATTTGTTTATTTATTTTTATTTATTTATTTACTTTTTAAATGTATAATTACTTATAAATTTAATAAGATATTTTGAATAATGTTGAATCCATTAGCCATTGACTAGTATTTTTTTAAAATACTGCTTTGGTCAGCCCATTTTTATGCCACTGTCAAGTTTAAAGGCTTTCCACTTTTCCACTCATGCGCTGTTTTTCAGTGTCAGTTCTAAAGCAGAGGACCAATCAGAAGAACTCTGAAGCGGGACACTTGTTGCAAGCTTTTATTTACAATGTATATGCATGTAAAAATGATGTGTTTTAGACAAAGACACTTTCTTTGTGAAAGCAAAGTAATTTGTTTTGTAAATTTGTATAATTATGCACATAGTTTATTTACTTTTTCCACTCATTTTAAGGAAGATTAACTCATTTAATACACTCATTAGAAATACACAATCTACATTGCTACTATTAAAGGTTTGTAGATTATTACAACATTATTGTCATTACACATGTACAAAACAACAAAATACAGTTTCAGTCTAATCAAGAGCAAGTGCTATACAAGTTGTATTATGTTAATTATAGTCAGATTAACAAATATGTGAACATACTGCTAATAATAATCAGGAATATACAAATAGATGTGATCATTGTATATAGCTTCTTATTTACTATAAACATTTTCAAATAAATATGTAACCATGCATGTTATACATTTACAAATGTATATGTGCAGTGCAGGATATGTGCAGTGTAACCACTATCCCTTTAAAACATCAAGATCAGGTTTAAGCAAAATTAACTCTAATGTTTCTTATAAATGGCACTTAATGGTTGTGTCTGGTGTTTGATTCAGTCAGTCAGGTCAAACAAAAACATCATGACCTAAACTTTGAACAGCTGTTAGTACATAAAAACGATTGGTTAATTATTAAGCAACTCATCTGGAGCAAGTAGAAAACACTGCACTTCTGTATGTTACTTGCAGTCTGAACCTGCTTTGTTGGCATTTCATTATGACACCGTGACCCTGACGGATGTTGATAGATGTGAACGTCCCAGCCGGTCCGTCTTTCTGTTTCTGAGCACTCGCGTCTTGTCTATTTCATCCACTTTCCCAAAGCTCATTGTAGACAGCGAGCAGTGAGCGCCACTGAGCTGTCAGTCACATAATCTGCCACCGTCTGCGCTTTCAGTCCCGCTGCTGCAGTCGCTGCCCTCCAGAAACAGCTCCTCGTCTTTCAGCAGGACGCTCTCTTTGTGTTGAGCCATGGAGGATTGTGAAGACACAGAAAGCAGGACAGTGTCTGTCAGCAGATTTCATCAGCTCTTATTTAACGATATCCTTATTTGCTGTAATATTTCCAGCCACATTGCACACATTTCAGTCTTCTTTATATTAACTTATTATTTTAGAATGCAAAACATTAATTTATTTCTTGTTTGCAGACATTACCAAGAATTAAATCCTATCTCTCCTGGCCAACATGTATGTAATTGAATTAAACGATTATTTGGATTAGTGTAAATTGTCAACTATTTAAGATGGTAGTCTTAGTCCTGTGTTAGTTGTCTTTGTTAATTTAACCATATTTTTTATCAACCTAATCCTATTTTTCTTTAGTCTACTAAAAGTCATGGCATTTTAGTCTAGTTTTAGTCTAACTTTCAAGTATTTTAGTCTAGTTTTAGTCTTGATTGTTTTACTCTAGTCTCTTATTCAGATAAGATTGTTATTAATACCATTGTTAATAATCAACTGAGATGAATGTATATTTTTTCATCAGATGAAATTGGGCGATAACTCGTTTTGATGACATACATGTTAGTGCCCTGCATTTAAGCCTGAGCCTGTCGGGGTGCAACATTTTTTTCACCGTAGGGCCAATTTTCACGTCATTGCTAGCACACATATCGGGCTTAAAATGAAAAAAAAAATAGATTTAATGAGATCATTTTATGATTAATGAGATTTAATTTATGGAAGTGCCAGTGATGTCTTGCCCATAGAGATTTCCAGCCACTTGCAATGAAAAACAGAAAGAGAAGAATTGCCAATGGCAAACTTAAAACTGTGAAATACGCTAGAGCAGTGGTCACCAAACTTGTTCCTGGAGGGCCGGTGTCCTGCAGGTTTTAGCTCCAACCCTAATCAAACACACCTGAACAAGCTAATCAAGGTCTTACTAGGTATACTTAAAACATCCAGGCAGGTGTGTTGAGGCAAGTTAGAGCTAAACCCTGCAGGGACACTGGCCCTCCTGGACCGAGATTGGTGACCCCTGTGCTAGAGGAAGAACAAATTTCTGGTCGAATTTTCAAATGGTGACCACTTTAAATGATGAGCTAACTAGTTATGAACAATGCACAACTTCTAAGTGAAATGGGTAAACTTGCTGTGGACCACATACAGCTTGGATATCAATGTCACCTAAACTAAAACTTACATTAAAAAACAAACATTTCTCTAAATTGTTCTGATAAAAAATGAAACAAAAAAACATCAACTTTCTATTAAATGCAAATCTGGTTTATTTTATTGGCTGTAAACGTATAAGCTTTTTGGCGGAATAAAAGAGGGCATTCGGCTCGGACTTCAGCCAAAATTTTGAGAAGCTGTTTGAAAAAGGCAGGCCTACATCCTGTGCGTATCAGGCTAGGAATTAGTTTAAGATCCGATTATTGATTATTTCACGTGACCCCATTCTGTTAATAATGATTTATATCAAGGGCATGCATATGGTCTAACTTAGTCTTTGTGTGGTCGCATACATATGCACCTCTCAAAACTGTCACTACACGCTGCGAAGACCTGTAGCGCAAGCTCTGGGATTGGTCAGTTTGGTAGCTTTGACATGCGTGGGTGTCGCAGAGAGCTGCGGGACAGCAGAGAGCCCTTCGTTGGAGCGAGTGTTTACAAGTGTGAAATCCCATGGAAGGGTTGTTTTATGTTTGCCTTATGATTAAAGTTGTTGAACAAATGATTATTTACATTAAAGTCTTTGTTTACTGTAGAAGCAAGAAAGGAACTGCTTAAAACATTATTTACAGAATACACAAGAGTTATTAAATTTATTTGAGATACTGCTGATTTTCTACTTTTAATATGAAAAGCACAGAAAATATTTTATTTTGTTAAAAAAGTAAGCATTTTATAAGAAAAAAGTGACTGTTTTAGGCAATGTGTTTAAATTTAAGTTGTTTAATTTCACATTGTTCAATAAATAATCCCAGATAGTAGATATCGAGTGTTTCCTTTAATTATTTTCAAATCAGGTAATGCACTCTTCAAACAAAAAGCTCTGACATAGTATGTGAGCATATTTACTGTACAAAACTTGTCATTAAACTATGAAGGCAAAAAAAAGAAAGAAAAAAACATATATATATATATTATTATTATTATTATTATTTATTTTTTATTTATTTATTTTATAAAAATAAAATATCAAGTTAAAAGTTCAATTAATTGAGATTTAGATTTTAGGCCAAATCGCCTAGCCCTACTTGAAGGACAGAACAAAGTACCTCTGAATCTGGGTTCCAATAAATCAAGATTTAGATAGTTTTTATCTTTTTGACTGTATTTTACTCGTCTTTTTTCTACAATGATATTACACTGTTAGGTAGTCACTGTTAGTATCTAATGATATCAATATTGTCCCGTCTAAAGGTCTTTGCAAGTCTGAAATTTTCATATGCCTTTTTTCATCTTCATATTCAAACAAATAATCTTAATTTATGATGGGTCAAAGTTTCAGAGACAGTGTGTCGATACGATTGAGACAGTGTGAAGTCTTTTTAATAAAAAAATAAAATAAAATAAATAAATAAAAGTTAATGTGCAAAAATTACAGACAAAAATTCCGGATTCAGTACCGAGACAGCACTAAAAAGCTACTCAAAAACTCCTTTTAAAAACTACTTAAAGTACAATTCCTGAGAAAAGCTACTCGCATTAATTTGACTGTTTGTAATTTTTGCTTTACACCAATGATCATGCAGATTTTCCAGATTATTAATTCTGCCAATGATCTTTTGATGTTCAAAACGCTGCATTTTGCATCTGAAGAGCTGAACTGACAGGAAACCTAGGAATCGAGCTCTTCTCATATGTCTCTGACTCTTTGTTTGCTTTCTCAAGGTAATGTGGGCGGAACAGCAGGTGGTGAAACGAAGAAAGAAGAGGGATGTTTACTATGAGCCCACCGATCCCAAGTTTGCACAGCAGTGGTACTTGGTGAGTAAATAGCTCATCTGTTTGTTTGTGCGAATCTGCGTCTGTCTCTGTGTGTGTTTGTGTACTGTTTGTTCATTTTGCAAGCACGATACCTCCCGCTCAGATTGGATGGTCTGGGTGGGCTGTTGTAACACTCTGTTTGGATTCATAGGACTCTGTTCCTTCTGCCCTTGTTAAATGGGATGTTGTGTAACAGTGAACTTGTTGCTATTATGGTCATCCGGTGGAGCTTAAAGTTTAATCAGCCGGTTGTGATTTGGCTCTTCGGACACATTCCAGACATGCTGGCCCTCACTCTCCATCAGTCTTTATACACGTCGTCTTCTGAGATGTCATTCTTTCTGTGTCCCCGATTAAAGTGGCCGCATTGAACTTGTTTGTGAAGGAGATGAAGGGATGGGTGATGTGGGTTTAACAGTAGGCAGACTGACATTTATCATTCACTTTTCAAAACAAAAGCAGTCCAAAAGCATTCGTTGCGTCATAAATCCTACTCATAATATAGCTAGACTGACCCTGTATAGGTTATGAAAGCAGATATCCCTGTTGGTTGTTATGGAAATGAGCCATATCAAAAATTATGTGAACCTTTGGATGAGGAGAAACTAACAGACTTGCATCTTATCATGGAAATAAACTACCCTTGTGTGCCACAAGCCATTGAAATGAAAGGGTTTCATAGTACAGTGCTTTCCGTGTCTGGTGTGAAAGCCGTTTTCCACTGCATAGTGACACTAGCCCCTTTCACACAGTGATACCGGTAAATTTCTGGAAAATTTCCGGAACGACTTTACCGGTATATTGAAAAAAGCGCTGTTCACACAGGTGAGGACGTTACGGAAATTTTCCGGAAAAGAGCATTCACACATCCATTCCAAAATACCGGTAAATTCTGACATCATTCACCACAAATGAGCTTTTAACGGCTGCGCTTGTATTTGTAAACATTTGACTAAATTACAAACTCTGTGGATGATCAATATTGTGAACAACTTTCGCAGGATCACTTTCGCATGTCGAGATGTTCATAATATGTGCGTGTGCAGGCGCTCATAGGCGCACGCAAAGCTTGAAGGTAAACAAACAACGGCCTATCATAAGCATCTCATCGATGATTATTTACACAGTTGGCATTAAGAAGAACATATAAACGTGATCTGACTAACTTCTAGCAGCTAAATGTGTCTGGAAAAATATTCAAAGGCTTTTATCCTCACAAACCTTGCGGACGTAAATGCGTCTGACTTTTGTGATTGGCTAAAGCGTTGGCTAAAGTTCTAGACGTGCACGCGCTTATTACGGGAATCTTCCTTCTGCATTCACACAGCGCAGCATTCCGGCAAATTGCCGGTAATGTTACAACTTCTCTTTCCGGAAAATAGCCAGAACGAATTTATCTCGGTATATTCAAAAAGGACCTGTTCACACATACAACCTTTCCGGAAAATTGCCGGCAATTATCCGGAAAGGTCTGTATGTGTGAAAGGGGCTTATGACTAGAGAAAGAGAGTAAGATCAACATGTTGTACATTTTTCTCATCACCCAATTTTTTGGCAGATGAAAAATTCGATTAAATATACAGTAGGTAATATTAGAAATAAGATTGCCGTTTTCTCAAATATAAGTATTATTATACTGTGGTTCACCAAACAAGTAAGTTCTTATTGAGTAGCATTTTAAGCATAACATTTTCTTGAGGCTTGAGACAGAACCATATTAAGTCCATACTTTCAAATTTTGAGCAATGTTTTTAAAAAAAATTTTTTTTTTTTTTTTTTTTGGATTGGGAACATTTTTATTTGACTTGAAGATAGAACAAAAGCTTCTCAATTCTAAGACTATTAAAAATCAAAAGTCATTGTGAATTATATTTTTTTAAATGTGGAAGAACAATATATGTCCAGTTAGTGTGAAATTATGGTTTGTGTTAGTTTTAATACAGTAACACAAACTTCAGGTTAATATTAAGCATTTTTTTTAAGTTCATCATTATTATTATTATTTAAAAACAGAAAATTCGTATGAACAATGTACAATACATTGACATTATTTCAGTACAGGCAGTTACAATCAATTATTAATTATAATTCAATAAATAGGCTGCAGCAATAAATATGTACAATGCAGACGTACATCATAGCTTAACACTGTTGTTTATTTAGAAAAGCTGGAGCAGCGCACCTGTGTATGTACTACTTCATACTGTTCTCGCACTCCGCCATCTCACAATATAAATAAATATATAAACAAATAAACTCTGCTTACTGTAGTTTACACAGGACTGGCAGGAAATATGCATTGATACAGCTTTATTATATATGGCATGTGGTTTATTTTGATAGGTTAACTGTTTTGCGTATTCAGAGAGAGAGAGAGAGAGATCACATATACAGTTCTTGCACTCACCTCTTTCGGTGAATTTTTTCCTGTTCTTCCATTTGTTTATGTCACCTCTCCTTTTTTGCAGAGGATTTGCCTTTTAATGACCAAAGCGAACATGACAGCAAGCGACATCTCCATTCTTCTTAGTTGACACAAACAGCTTATTTTGCGTGACTCTCTTTTAATGTTTAAAATGCAGACTCTTGGTCACTCAAAAATATCCCCAAACTATTTCTGTATACAAAGTTCACACGTACAATTTGGACTTTGGATATTGTTGTTTGTCGCAGTCACTCGATTGCATTTTTTTTAACTTAATTTTGCTTTTTTATTGATTTTTAAATTGAATCAATTCAGTGATCCATTATTAAAAATGGTCACATTTTAAAATGAATCATTTGTTTTGAATAAATCACTCATAATATTATCTGACATAAAGGCACTTAAAATAAGTCAACTAGCATACAAATATAAAATATACCATATAATAACTCCACTTTTAAACTTTGCACACCCGTAGTGTTGATTCTAATTGCGGTAGTAGATTTTGAATTTGCTGTTTGCATTTTAAAATCTAAAGTTTGCTTTCAAGCGCTCATTTGCTTGAGAAAGATGCAGCATTTAGTGTCAGCACGACCAAAATAGCAATAAAACATGAAGAAAGCAGTGCGCGGAAAACTGCTGAGTCAGCTCACTAAATATGTGCATGATTACCTGCTTCTGACTCGAAAAGACAAAAATTAGATGCAGTGTCCCAATTACGTCCTGCATAAATATTAATAGCCTGTTCTAAAAACCAGACATCTCTGGATGAGTCTGTAATGAAGATGGTTGAAAGAGAGATATCTGTTGTTCAGGTCTGCACCACCTCTTTTAACCGGATATACGTTTAGTTTGGATTGCCCCAATTATTTTTTCAGAACCAATGTGCTTACCGAGGCTTATTACTCATATCGAGCTTATTGATAATGACTCCCTGATGCACACAAATTGAGCAATGCACAGTTTATTCCAATATTAAATCTTCATAACATGACAATATCTGTGGCTTTGCTCCGCATCTATTAGCTCTGTATAATGTTTGGAAGGACGAATTGGTTTCTTTGTTTACACTGGAGTATTGAGAGAGTGCTTTTATTATTGTTTGGACTTAAAGTACTAAGGAAAAAACACCTTGCTACTTATTTTTGTTGTTTATGCTTTTTAATTGTTTTTTGGCTCAGTTTGTGGATAGACCTTCAGTTTGAGACCATTTTCTCCTGAACTTCTGGTGTATGAACTCATTAATTAAATGAAGTTATTTAGTTAAGATCAGTAAGATATCTCTTTTCTTTTGCTGTATAATGAACTTTGGCGAACACAGCAGCAGTATTGCTGTTTTAATACCTAATGCATGGATCTAATATAATGTTACGCATCAGATTTATACCCCTTTTTTCATCCTCTCTTAAAACATAACTCATATTTTTAAGTAATTGTGTATGTTTGTGTGCAAACTAGGGATGTAACGGTATCAGAATTTCACGGTACGGTAATACTTCGGTATGAATGGCATGGTACGGTATTTATTGAATAATTTATAGGAAAAAAAAACTAATGAAAAGACTCGAAAAAAAGTGCCAAAAGTGTTTATTTACCTTAGCACTGAACATATCAATGACATACAAATCAGCCATCTATCTGTAAGTTTCGAAACAGGAACTTCAATTTTTCCAATTTTAATAACACAAAACTATTAAACCATATCAAAAAAATAAAGTTTCAATTTAGTATTGTTGAAAACTCATCACATTCAACATTTAATCACTCACTCACTTAGATAGAGATGGGTTTTTTAAGGAAAATGATCATATAACTATAATCTGGTAAAAGCTGGGATCTCTGGGCATGTTCACTGCAACAGAAAAAAAAAGACTCTCATTTGGGACTGAGGTTTCTGGGACAGAGAGATATGATTTAGCCAAGGTTGACAGCAGTGGGTAACGTTGTGCATCGTCTTTCCACCACTTGAGAGGACAAGCCATGAGTGAGATAGAGGTCTCTTTGCGGTACAAGTCAATGTCTGCATCAATCTAACAAGTGTGCTGTGTTCTGCAGTCCCCATGACTGTCTTTAGTCATATTCCCTGACTTATATTTCACCACAGTCTGGCAGTGCCTGCATACTGTTTTTTTCTTTGACTGTCACCTTTTCTCCTTTTTCGTATCTTTTTAGAAAGAAACCGAAATGCTTCCACACATCCGATTTAAAACTCGCTTTAGGTTCGATCATTTCCAGCTCTTTTTCTTCCCTGTTACTAGCAACACACTCCATTTCCGCATTACTGGATCTGTAGTAACAACAGACCGCAAAGGATGATGGCCACGCCTAGGCTGATGGGAATTGTAGTTCCCGCTACCTCCCGTTCGCTTCATTTGCCTAAGCAAACTTTTCTCAGAAATAAAGTTTTATTGAGTCATGCGCCTACGGTAATATTGAAAAAAATTACTATTGCGGTATGACGGTATTTACAATATTCTTACATCCCTAGTGCAAACTGAATTTGTTGCTTGTTGAACCTCAAATAATTTTTAACAAAAAGCAAATATCTTATTTTTGTTTACTGTAAACAGTGGAACTTTAGAAACAAAAGCTGTCCTTCGCAAAACCATGGGCAACCTCATAGTCATATGCGTAATAAGGGTACACTTACAATGTATTATATGCCTTTTATTTGCTTAAAAAACATTATTTTTTATAAGGTTGTACAAAGTTGTTTACACCAGCATTGCCATGTATCAAATAATAATAAAACTGAGCCCCACAGTACTATTAGCTATATCACCTAATCTTAGCTAGGACGCTCTTGTAAAAGAGATTTTTAATTTCAATGTGTCTTTCCTGGTAAAATAAAGGTTATAATAATATTAATAATAATAATAATAATAATAATAATAATAATAAAATGTTATTGAGTTGTTGTGACAAGCATGGTATTGAATCAACTTTCTGAGTCTTTATATGATATTTTACAGCTGTCATTCTTTCCTCATTTTAATTTTGACTGTCAATAAAATGGAGCTGATTCAATTTAAAATGTACTTTCCTGACTAATTTAATTGGACGTTACAGATCTATTTTCAATGCTAGCATGGGATTTATTTATTCATTTGTTTGTTTACCAAGTAATTAAGAGTCCTCCCTCCGCATCTTTAATTTGTGAGAATCCTGCAGTGTAATGAGAATCATCAATTTGTGTGAAGTCATTGCTCAGTCATTCTGCATGCAGCAGTGATTCACCAGATTCGGACGTTTTGTTCCAGCTAATGAACCAACACAATAGATGCTGCTTCTCTCACTTTTTAGGGAATGTCATGACTTAAGGAAAAAAGAAAACAATAAAATTGTACTCTGAGCTCCAGTCTTTTCTCAACACATTTTTTTTTCTTCAGGACAGCGTTATCAATCATGTTTATCAGTGCAACGGGTAGACGCCACTCAATAACATTTCCGTAGAGCGGAATGCAGAGAAAGTTTGGCTGCAATTGCAACAGTTGACCAAAGGTCATCAGCGCAGATTTATCAACCTCACAGCCATTATTGCTGGACCTTTAAGGCAAGATTGCATCATTTTCCCTGATGTAGGCTCAAGAAATAAACTGTCAGTTCTGTTCGTTTGACTTTCAATCCCAGGATAAGCAGGGGAGGGTATCATTTTTGGGGTCATCAGACCTGACAGCACCTTTTACTGGCTTCAATTTCTCCCTTCAACCTCTCTGGGGAGAAGAACAGCGACACTGTGACCAACTGGCGAGTGCGGGAGCCGCGTGGAGAAATAAATTCAATTTTCTGCTCAGATAAACTCAGGTGGCCACGTTCGTTTTTGCACTGGAGTAACACACGTGTGGAGCAGAGAGAGGTCAGATCTCTGTGCTCAGACAGACACACTCACCAAACTGCTTTCGGCAGAAACATATTGCGAAATTATTACAACTTATATTTAACTTCTTTAACAGATATTCAATTATTTTGGGGTTTTCATTTAGCCATTTCTTGGTTTTCAGTGTCTGTACCAGGGAGTTGAGGATCCAAAAATACAGCATCTTTATTAAACTTAAACGCAAATAGACAGTCCAAGTAGAACCATAGCTTAACCTTAAGGGCAATTCAGAAGAGTAGCTGGGGTCACAGGCGAAGATATCGGCACAAACGTCATACAGCATTAACAAAAACAAGGAGAGGGTCAACAGGCACAGAAAAACTAGACAAAAGGAAAATGCTTCGAAATGGTACAGGTTAACAAGACTCAGCAAAGTGTGTGTGTGTGTGTGACTCGGACTCGGCTTTATTATCCCGTTATGGAAACTAAAATTGCAACAAGGTACCATAACACAAGCGAAGTTCCATGAACACATTAATAAAATATTACCACACAACATCCATACATCAGTATATAGAGACATCCCCCTCTCCCTGGACTCATTTAATGACCTAATGGCCACCATTATAAAAGAATTTCTGGTTCTATTTGTCCTGCAAATAGGAACCCTAAAACGACGTCCTGATGGCAGCAGCTGAAATACAGAGTACAGTGGGTGATCCGGGGTGCATAGGATACCCTGAGCTCTCCTTAGAACATAGTTATGGTAGATTACCATTAGACCAGTCTGATTAAAACCAATGATCTTGCCTGCCACCTTCACCAGGCTGCTCAACCTGTTCTAGCTTGACACACTCAGATTGCCGTACCATGCTACAATGCAAAAAGATAAAACAGATTTGATAAATTGTTTATAAAACAGTGTGTGTGTGTGTGAGAGAGAGAGGTGAAAAAGTTTAAGTAATCAGTCCATGTCAAGTTACAAGTTGTGTGTGTAATTTGAGGGAATCAGGAACTGTTGTGTGTGTGAGGTGCATGATGGTATTTTTGTAGTCCTGTTCAGCAGTTCTCCAGTGATCTGCTTGGATTAGATTGCTGGTGATTGTGTCGCTCCACATGATCTTATTTTATCATCACTCCAATATTATCAAGCTCTATTATGTTTACTTATTTAATTATAGTTTTACTACAGGTGTTACTGAATAAAGTATAAAAGAAAACAATATAAGTTGAAAATGGTTACTTTTTTTAAGTTTCAAAAAGGTTTTGCTATGGTCACATGATCCTTCAGATGCCTTCTGATTGGCTGATTTATTGCTCAAGCAACCTTTTTGTGTGCTGCTTAATGTGTTTGTGTAACCTGTCATACAAGAACAAGGGAACAATAGAACATTTTAAAATAAAGCAACTTACACATGAATTCAAAATGTTTATCACATTATCAAAACTATAATGTTATTTATATTAAGTTTTAATACATCCCTGCAGTTTAAAAGTATTCAAAAATAATAATAAAATTTCTCAGCATAAATGAGAACACCCCTTTACAGATCTCTCCTTTTAACTGAATATTTTCTATAGGATGCTTTACAATTATATATTTGTGCATATACATAAGATTAATCAGTACCAAAGCCAAATCTGGAGCTAATCTAACAAAAAAAAGCAAGATCACAGTCTAAATATGTGTACACCCAAGTTAATATGTTGGCGTAAAAATTAAACAGGAAAAATAAAAAGTTGACATTTTGTAGTTTGCAATTGTATTTATTTTTTCTTCAATAACTTTTTAAATAAATTTAAATGTATTGTCTTTTTATTCATATTGATGTTAGATGACCAAAATCTTATTTTTATAGGTGTAACCATTCAATAATACTGTTTTGTTTTAATGAACCAAAATATATACACTGAGAAATGAATGAAATATTCAGTCTTCAGGTGGTGTACTCATTTATGCTGCTGAGCACTGTGTGTGTAGTGTGCTCTGTGTGTGCATAATTTAATAAAGTTAGGTGTAAAGAAATGTGCCCGCAATAAAAGTCAATGCACTAACATTTCAATGCAAAACATTGGTTGAAGCAGACAGAAACTCCTGAACTGTAGGGTACAGTATGTGAAAGGGGAGTATTGCGTGCGTTCAGGGCATTACAATAACCAAGACAGGATGTCTTGAAGGCGTATGAGAGTTTTGGCATCTCTCATTTCTAGTACAGGACATCATGCGGTATTGAGGTGACTGCAGACTGCAGCATTGAGTCAGAGCTGATGTGAGCTTCTAAAGTGATTTGAGAAAGACGATCCTCACTTACAGCAGGAGGAATAAATAATGAACACTTCATGTTTTTTTCCTGGGAATAGTATTTTTAAAGGAGCTGTTGACTTGCAACTGAACAATTTTTTTGGTAAACACCCAAACAAAACAAGCATAAAAATAAAACAAAATAAATCTGAAAAATGAATTATGTGTAATAACAATGGAATGACACAAGGAGAAAGTCCTGACCTCCTGAAATGAATTTAATACTTAATATAAAAGGCTTTTTTGGTGATGGCAGCTTAAAGATGCCTCTCATATGGAGAATGAAGTCACATGCATTGCTCAGGTGTGAGAAAGCATTTTGAAAACAAAGTCATTTGAGAGTTTCCTCAACTGTGTTTTGGATCATTGTCTTGCTGAAGTGTCCACCCTGGATTCATCTTCATTCTCCTGCCAATGTAGATGTTGGACTGAAGCAGCTAATATTCATTTACAATGAGGAAGGGCAGAGGGTTGCTGAAGAACTACTGAGAGACTTCAGCTGCTGTCTGGGCTTTCACCTCCCTTTCTTCATGTGTTCAATACTTTTTCCCTGCGTCATTTAATTTTATCACACATAACTTTCATTTGTAAACTTATTATTTTTTGTTTTCTTTTGAGCTGTTGGTAGGAGGGAAGTGGCATCTATGCTGATCTGTTCTTTCTCTTATATTCCCATCAGTACAACCAAGACCATCTTGACCTCAACGTGAAAAATGCCTGGAAGCAGGGTGTCACTGGACAAGGAGTCGTCGTGTCCATATTGGATGATGGCATTGAAAAAAACCACCCAGATCTGGTTCAGAACTATGTGAGTTTTAAATAGGCCACCATTACATTCGACATTAAAAACCCAAGACATAATCATTTCCGTAATGTTCGTTGTGCATTTTCAGGATCCAGATGCTAGCTACGATGTTAACGATGGCGACCCAGACCCTCAACCTCGATACACTCAACTCAACGATAACAGGTATTGTAAGCTATACAAGACTTCTTACACTCAAAGAAAGACTTTTTCTTCTTGTTGAAACAACTTTTTTTTTAAATGAGCTGAATTAACTTAATTCTTTAGATACTTTTAGGAGAACTTAATTTGTTGTTGTTTTATGTTCAATCCACTTAATCGATTTGTGTTGGGACATCATGAAGGAATTGTGTGGAACCCTGCTTTTTTTTACAGTGTACAATTTATTTAAAGTGTGTGAAGTTGCAGAGACAATTATTTTTAGTATGTTAATGTACTTTTTAACTGAAACAGGATATTGAGTAGGGGTGGGGCTTTAGTTTTGCAAATCATTTTCTCATAGCAAACTAACGGTAAAGGCTGGTTTTTACTTCTGCATCGATTAATCGTGTGAAGCACGGCTCATACCTTGCGCGTAGCAGTGCATTTATACTTGTTTGTGTTGCTTTGCAATAACACTTCTGAAATGCTAGCTGGCTGTAGGTTATGTTGTTAATGCACAAGTAGTTAAAGCTTGCTCATTCAAAGGCGGGAACTGGCTTAATTGCAACAAGTTTAATCATAAGGTTAACACAAAACAAAAGTTTCCATCTGGAGCTCCTTCGCAGGACTCGACGCTTGTAAACACTCGCTTCATTAGGCTCGCGGCACCGCGCACACTTGTCACCGCTACTAAGCTGACTAATCACAGAGCTTGCGTTACATGTCGATGCATTTTTAAGAGTTGCGCATCAGCGCCAGCCATGGCAAGGGCTATGCGATTGTACGAAGGCTGCGCCGGACCTTACGTGTGCGCTTGATGTTGAAGTTTAAAATAAATGGGTGTGACTAAAAATATTGTAGCTAAAGCATCAAACTTGTCTATAGAATAGTGTTTCTCAACCATGTTTCTGGAAGACCACCAACACTGCATGTTTTGGACGTCTCCTTTTTCTGTCACACCCATTACAGGACTTTCAGTCTCTGCTAATGAGCTAAATCAGGTGTTTTTGGTTAAGGAGATATGGAAAATATGCAGAGCTGGTGGGTCTCTAGAAGCGTGGTTGAGAAACCACGCATTAGACCACAGGTGTCAAACTCAGTTCCAAAAGGGCCGCAGCTCTGCACAGTTTAGTTCAAACCCTAATTAAACACACCTGATCAAACTTATTGAGTCCTTCAGGCTTGTTTGAAACCTACAGGTAAGTGTGTTGGAGCAGGGTTGGAACTAAACTGTGCAGGGCTTCGGCCCTCCAGGAATTGAGTTTGACACCCCTGCATTAGACGAACCGCCACTTTAGACGCAGAAGAAAATAGTCAGACTTCGAAGATTACCAAAACAAGCTTTTTTTCAGTTGATTAACTTGCAAAAATTGATTGTTCACATAAGGAAATAACAGTATCCTCTAGCAAAATAAACATTGTGAAATGTGATTCACACAGTTTCAAGGTGTGATGAGCTGTTTTTTTATTTATTATTGTTAAATGTAGTACTTCTGAGGTCCACTAATTTAATCAAAACTTTCACATCCTAATGATTTATAAGTAATTAGCTGTTTTTTGCTCCATTTCGATGTCCCTCATAAAGACACACTTTGAATAGGTGTTATATTTTATGTACAGGCCACACTATATTGTCATAAGGTGGCACATTCAAATCTGCCTTCATAAAAAGCTGTTTTTAGACTTGCAAGAAAGTTTTACAAGAAACCAAGTCTAGGTTTCTTCAGCAAAGCCGGTCATTTGTGAGGGGAGTCGCAGCTCAAACTGTTATTTGTTTTTCCTCATCTTAGCCTGCTCTGTATTTTATACCTAGGCCCTGAAGCTCCTGGCATTAAACCAGCTAAAGTATGAATACTACTATACATTCACTGATGTACTTAATGAGGCCAAAGGTTTTGCCCTGCAGCATGGAGATGTGCACAGGAATACACAGCCTGTAATACAGCGTGATTAGAGTTTCCACCATAGCCCATTTCTGTTGGACAGGAGTGCCTTTTGCTAATGAGATTTTTTCTTTGCATGGCCAGCAAGCAAATGGTGTCATTTTCAGAAACACAATCTGCAGCTATAATTCCCTATCATCATTCATCCTCATTCATTTGTTTGACCATTTGTGAGTTTAATAGTGTCACATATGGTCAGCCTTTCTCAGATGCAGATTACCATGCAAATGTGTTCATAAACTGAGAAAGAAGTCAGAGAACATGCTAAAGAAGATCTTTGATTTATTGGTGCGCACACTGATACTGATTTAAGTTGGAAAGCGTGTACTTATATACTCATAATTTTCTTAATGCATGAATCAGATCTGACCTTTATGAAATAATAAGCTAAGACAATCGGAATCGAATAGGAAGTTGCTGAGACTTCTAATTTCACTGTTGATGTGCTTCCAATTGGAATTGTTGTAAAAAAAATAAATGAGTTGAAAAGAGAGAGAGAGAACCCAGTCCAGGAGACTCGAAACAAGCAGAATTCCTTTATTGAGACGTGTTGGTTAATCTGCAGTCATACAGCGTCTTCAAGATGTCCAATGTGTCTGCAAGTGCCTACTAGAGGTCCGCAGTCTGCAAGTTCTTTCACAAGTCTCTCACACAAGTCTCACACAAGTCTGAATTAGTCTGAATTAAGACAAAGATTTCATGGCTATATTGTGTTCTTAGGAGGAGGGGATATAGCTAAACAAAGTATGCAAATTAAGGGTTGTGGTCGGCAGGGTAAACTGCTTCTCAGGTCTAATCTCATCATGTTCTGGAGACAGAAACCGCCTGACCATTTGATCGAAAAGAGAAAACAATAGACACCCCATGCTGTGAAACTGACAATTTGCATTACATTGGCTTAGCCTGTTATCAGAAAGACAAAAGGTTAATGTCCATCCTAGCTGGGATGTTAATGAAATTATATAATTAAAAACCAGAGAATATAACTTTTCAGTTATACGTAGATTATTTTTCATTTGGAATTAGTTGATAGAAATTTATATTTCCACAGTTCCCCCTTTGAGAGTTATTTAAAAACTCTCACAAAAAAATATAAATTTGTAAGCTTTCCTAAAACCATTCAATGGCTTCTGTTTGATAACAGAAGCCCCATTTTCTAGTCATGTAACTTGAAAAGTTACAGGCACATTTAACTTATTCTGTGTCATTTCAATATCTACATAGATGTAAGTGTAGATTTCTAAAATTGTTCACACGTTTATGACAATCAGTTGTAATGTCATAAATCCTACATGATGACACAAAAAATCATGTAGTTAAACTGCAGATCTTCTGAAAGTCCATGGCTTGTGAATAGTGTTCAGTCTTTTGTGAGGTGTGTTTCTTGTGGTTCTTCTCCAGCACAGAGTTGATCTGATGACTTCCTGTCATTCATGGATCTCCGTAGTGATGCTCTGGTTCAGAGTGTTTTTGAGAAGATGCAGTGTTTGTGTTTACCTGCACACAAGAAAACAAGGAAACAGCAGACCAGCAGTATTCATACATAGACTTGTATGATCATAGTTCGTGTGTCTAGTTATTCAGGTGATCGTATAGTGGTGTTAAGTTGGTGATCGTGTAGTGTTGTGTATTTTCTGTCTCCTAATCTTAAAGTTATGACACCTATAAAACAGTGAGGTGAGGATAAATGGGGAAAAAGGGAGTCTTCACCACAGGGTGCGGCCCCTGAAGCCTGTTGCTTTCAGTTCTGCCCTGGGCTCCTCACTGGTTTGTGTGTCCTGTTCTGTCCCTGAGTGTGGTGGGCAAACTTTTAAAATGTGAGACACAAACTATCATTCAATAAATATCAGTCCTATCAGACATCATAACATTGAATGGGTAGTGATTGAAAATATGTGTTAAAACACATTCAAGGCTGTAAGTGGACTTAAGCAGAGTTCCCTAATACAAAGGAAGAAGTTTCCTTTGTGTCTTTTTACAAAGAGTCTTTCATCTTAATTGTAAATGAACTGGGACATTAAGCACTCACAGCCAAAAATGGTTAGCATCTTTGTGGACAGCTCAATGGATTTAGTGATGAGGGGAGGGGTATGTTGAGGGCATTTAGCAAACTGTTCAGAAGTTGATTTACCCTGTTCATCTCTTTAAAGTTCTTTTTATTCTTTCTACACTCTCTCATCCAATGTCCTTTTTTACCACAGTAATGACAACAGATATTTTTCCTAAGACATTTGTGATTTGATGTCTTTTCAGTGTTGACCTTAGTGGCGGCTGCTTCATATCTTACTCTGTCTTTGATGTAAGAGTCTCTTTCCCACAAAGCTAAACTGTTCATATTATTTCTGAGAGTGGTGGAAGACCAGGTGATGTTAAGAAATGGCAAAGCTTGTCTGTATTCAGTTGCAAGGCCATCTGACCAGATGCGGACTAGGGGTCCCTTATCATCTAGCACACTGTCCGAATTATCAGCTAATCCACTGTAAGTTATGGCGGATTGACAAAATCTCTCAGTGAATTCATTCACAGATTCATCTTTCCTTTGTACACAACAAGTCACTTTTGACCAGTCGATCTTTGGGCCAACAATGTTCTTTAGAGCTTTCAAAACACCCTCTCTCAAATCATCCTTACTGGCATGTTGTAATTTAGAGGTCACAGTATGCTCAAAACTGCTCAATTCAGATTCAGTGAGAATTTGAGACATTAGCTGGGTGACTTCTGTTAATGACTTGTCATAAAGACGCATTTTGCTGATTAGTGCTCTGCTAAACTCTGAAAAATTTGTGCGTGCTGATGGTAAGCTTTGAGACAATCTGTCTATTTCTCTAGGTCCTAGTGTTCTGGAAACTGTTTGAATTTGAACAACACAAGTGTTGTTGTGTGAACTCTCAGTTCTCTTAGATCTTCTGGCACCACAAACCTCTACTGAGCCTATAGGTAAATCGCTATCTGACTGGATGGAAATTTCTGTTTCAGAGACAATTTGTAAGTCAGGATGTTTATTATCAGGCTGACTAACCTCCTCAATGTCAGTTTTTGATTTCTTTAGGTTCAGTTGTTTTGTTAATGAGGTTATCTTAG